CAAAAAATTCAAGAAATCACGCGCATGCACATGTGCTGCAATCTGATTGGTTGAAACTTTAAATGGCTATATCTCCTTTGTTTTTTGACGAAATGCTTTGAAATCTAAAACATAGTCATGCAATAGGATATTCTACAATATGATTTAGAAAAAAAAAATTGAAATCACGTGGATGCACGTGTGCTGCCATCTGATTGGCTGAAACTTGAAATGGCTATGATTCCCTTGGTTTTCAACCAAACAGGATTGGAATTAGAACATAGATAGATATAAGGGCCTCCTACAAGAAGGTATGGTAATCATGCACGTGCACGCACGTGCGTGCATTTAGAATGAGTGAAAGTAAAAATACACTTGAAGGAGTGATATTTAATACTTTTGGACTAAATGCTTTAATATATAACGTAAATCTTAATATATAGAAAGTGTAGACAAGATTATATGATCACTACGCACGTGCATTCACATGGGCACGTGTGCAATGTTAGAATTTGAATATAATTGGTATCCTTTTGGGAAAACGTTGTTAAAGTCAAAATGCACAGATATTGTCCTATTTAATAAGGCTTACAGGGAATATGGCACCAAAAGGGAGTTGGGGAGCGTTTGGGGAACATCTGTAACGGTTCCCGTTACAATTAGCACTAGTTATGTTCCCCAAACGGAGTTTGGGAACATATTGTTTTTACTCGGTTTCTTATTATGTTCCCCAAACGAAGTTGGGGAACATATTGTTTTTACTCTGTTTCTTATTATTATTATTATTTTTCTTCTTCCTGGGTACTTATTTGTCCGGGAGTGATCTTGTAAACTACACATCCGACTTAGATGAAACCTTTTTAGGGTTAGTAGGCATGTTATGTAGATTTGCGGAACGAAGGTCATTTTGCGCGCACGTGCTTGCAAGAGCGTGCACGTGCAACATGTGAAATGACCGATTTAATTGATATAGGCGTAACTTTTTACATTTTTGATGAAATGCTTTGAAACTTATAATATAAGGATATATTAGTAACATAGACAATATGACATGGTCAAAATAGCAAGATCTCACGTGCATGCTCGTGCACTTTGCTCTGATTGGCTGAAACTAAAGTCTCAATATCTTTCTTGTTTTTTGATGAAATCCTTTGCAATTTTGTACATAGCCATGCATTAGGATATCCTACAACATGATATATAACAATTTTCATGAAAACACGTGCATGCACGTGCGCTGCAATCTGATTGGCTGAAACTTTAAATAGCTATAACTCCCTTGATTTTCAACCAAACAGGATGGGATTTGGAACATAGATAGATATAATGGACCTTTACAAGAAAGTATGGTCAACATGCACATGCATACACGTGCATGTACATATGCTGCAATCTGATTGGCTGAAACTTTAAGCAGCAATAACTCCCTTGATTTTCAACCAAACAGGATGGGATTTGGATTATAGATAGATATAATGGACCTCTACAGGAAGGTATGGTCACCATGCACATGCATACACGTGCGTGTACATATGCTGTAATCTGATTGGCTGAAACTTTAAACAGCAATAACCCCCTTGGTTTTCAACCAAACAGGGTGAGATTTAGAATAAAGATAGATGTAATGGACTTCTACAAGAAGGTATTGTCACCATGCTCATGTATGCACGTGCGTGCACGTGAAATGAGTAAAATAAAAAAAATACACTTGAATGAGCGTATTTTTTTTAATACTTTTGGATTATATATATAGATTCTGTAGACAATATGATATGGTCATTACGCACATGCATTCTCACGCGCACGCGTGCAATGCTAAAATTTGAATGAACTTGGTACACTTCTGGTTAAACGTTGTTAAAGTCTCAAATGCATAGAGTTTGTCTTATTTAATGAAGCTTACAGGGGATATGGCACCAAAGGGGAGTTGGGGAGCGTTTGGGGAACATCTGTAACGGTCCCCGTTACAATTAGCACTAGTTATTATTATTATTATTCTTTTTTTTCTTCTTTGTTCTCCGGTACTTTTTTGTCCGCGAGTGTTCTCAGAAACTGTTCATCCAACTAAGCTAAAACCTTTTTAGGGTTAATAGGTGTGTAGTGTAGGTGTGCGGAACGAAGGTCATTTTGCGCGCATACGCCTGCACGTGCGTGCGCGTGATATGAGTGAAATGATCGATATACTTAATATAGCTACAACTTTTACATTTTTTAATGAAATGATTTGAAACTCATTCTATAAAGATATATTAATAGTGTTGATAATATGACACTGTCAAATTAGCACGAACTCACGCGCATGCACGTGCGCTTCGCTCTGATTGGCTGAAACAAAAATCTCAATATCTTTTCCGTTTTTTTACGAAATGATATGAAATTTAAAATATAGGCATACTTTAGGATGTTCTACAATATGATATATAACAATTGTCCTGAAAGCACGCGCATGCACGTGTGCTGCAATCTGATTGGCTTAAACTTTAAATGGCTATAACTCCCTTGTTTTTCATCCAAACAGGATGGGATTTAGAACATAGACACATATTATGGACTCCAACAAGAAGGTATGGTCATCATGCACATACATGAACGTGCGTGCATGTGCGCTTCGTTCTGATTGGCTGAAACAAAACTCTCAATATTTTTTCTGTTTTTTGACGAAATGCTATGAAATCTAATATATATACATACTTTAGGATGTACTACAATATTATTATATATAACAAATATCATGAAAACACGCGCATGCACGTGCGCTGCAATCTTATTGGCTAAAATTGTAAATGGCTATAACTCCCTTGTTTTTCAACCAAACAGGATGGGATTTAGAACATAGACAGACATAGCAGACTCCTACAAGAATGTATAGTCCTCATGCACGTGCATGCACGTGCGTGCACGTGAAATGAGTAATATTAAAAATACGCTTAAATGAGTGTATTTCTTAATACTTCTGGATTAATTGATTTGATATTAAGTATATTAAAATATACAAATAGTGTAGACAAGACGATATTGTCATTAAGCACATACATTCAGATGAGCACGCGTGCAATGCTCAATTTAAAATATTTTTTGTATTCTTCTTGGAAAACGTTGTTTAAGTCTAAATTGCATAAAGTGTGTCTTATTTGATAGCCTTGCAGCGAATATGGCACCAAAAGGGAGTTGGGGAGCGTTTGGGGAACATCTGTAACGGTCCCCGTTACAATTAGCCCTAGTTCTTATTATTATTATTATTATTTTTCTTCCTGGGAAAATCTTTTCCGCGAGTGATCTTGTAAACTACACATCCGACTTAAGTGAAACCTTTTTAGGGTAAGTAGGCATGTTATGTAGATTTGCGGAATCAAGGTCATTTTGCGCGCACGTGCTTGCAAGAGCGCGCACGTGCAAAACTTAAAATGACCAATATATAATGGATATAACCGTAACTTTTCTATTTTGTGACGAAATGTTTTGAAACTTATAATGTAAGGATATATTAGTAGTATGCACAAGATGATATGGTCAAAATAGCAAGATCGCACGCGCATGCACGTGCACTTCGCTTTGATTGGCTGAAACTAAAGTCTCAATATCTTTTAAGTTTTTTGATAAAATCATTTGAAATTTTGAACATAGTCATACATTAGGGAGATCTACAGCCTGTAATATAAAATTTATCATGAAAGCATGTGCATGCACATGTGCTTGCAAGAGCTCGCACGTGCAACACGAGAAATGTCCAATATAATTGATACAGACGTAACTATTTAAATTATTGATGAAATGATTTAAAATTCATATTATAAGTATATATTAGAAGGATAGACAAAATGACATGGTCAAAAAAGTAAGATCTCACGCGCATGCACGTGCGCTTCGCTCTGATTGGCTGAAACTAAAGTCTCAATATCTTTCTTGTTTCTTGTCATAATCCTTTGGAATTTTGAACATAGACCTACATTATGAAGATCTACAGCGTGATATATAAGAATTTTCATGAAAGCATGCGCATGCCCGCGTGCTGCAATCTGATTGGCTGAAACAATAAATGGCTATATCTCCTTTGTTTTTTGACGAAATGCTTTGAAATTTAAAATATAGTCATGCATTGGGATATACTACAATATGATGTAGAAAAAAAAATCATGAAATCACGCGCATGCACGTGTGCTGCAATCTGATTGGCTTAAACTTGAAATGGCTATAACTCCCTTGTTTTTCAACCAAACAAGATGGGATTTAAAATATAGATAGATATAAGGGACTCCTACAAGAAGGTATGGTCATCATGCATGTGCACGCACGTGCGTGCATTTGGAACGAGTGACATGAAAAATACTTTTGAAAGAGTGATTTTTCATACTTTTGGACTGAATCTTTAATATATTGTATATTAAGATATGTAGATAGTGTAGACAAGATGATATGATCATAACGCACATGCATTCACATGCGCACGGGTACAATGCTAAAATTTGAATATAAATGGTATCCTTCTGAGAAAACGTTGTTAAAGTCAAAAATGCACAGAGTTTGTCTTATTTAATGAAGCTTACAGGGAATATGGCACCAAAAAGGAGTTGGGGAGCGTTTGGGGAACATCTGTAACGGTTCCCGTTACAATTAGCACTAGTTACACTTGACGTTAAAAAAAGAAAACCCACTCTTCTACGCTTATGATCTCCATCACAAGACGGCTGAAAATAAATCATTACAATAATCAGTAAATGAAAGATAAAGTAAATCCATATGTATATATATTTAATAAAGAAATAAACGTTTAAGAAAATTATGTATTGGCTTAAAGGAATCCCAATAATTTTTTTTTTTAAAGAAAAGTATAAAATACTAACGGCGGACGTCGTGGTGCGTTGGCGGTCTAAAAGGAAAAAAAAAGATATCTATTTGTATGATCTAACTATTTATCTATCTGACTATATTTTAATAATACTTTTGTGATCCTTTTTTCTGCGTAATTTTATTTTTTCCAAAATAAAAAAAAGGGATTAGAAATACTCTTGTAATATACTAACCCATTTCTGTTGGACTTTTTCCCCACCGGACTAACAAAAAATATTTAAAACAAAATTAATTTTTGTTTCCCCTTTTTTTTCTCGTTAAGTACGTAAAAAATAAATAAAAATGAGGAAATTATTAAAGTAAGGATTAAATTAATACACTCACGAAACATCAGGCGTACTGAAATAAAATTTACAGACTAAATGTAAAAAAAATTAATAAATTATAAAAATTAATAAAGTGTGAGTACAAAAAAAAAAAAACACTAAATTTCTTCACACGTAATTATATAATCTCAATACCTGAAAAACGTTTTCCTCTTATGTAAACGTAAGGCCATTCTAAAAAAAAATATTCACATCTCAAGTAAATGATTCATACTGATTTAATTTAAAATTAAAATAAAAAATAAGCAGAAAAACGGTAACAAAACCAAAAAAAAAAGAAAAGAAAAAAAAATAATAACTCACGGACACTCCATAGTTTTAATATCCTCCATGATATAATTCAGGAGTTTCAAAATCTCCTCTCTTTTTTCACAAGTGCAACTTAAAAAAAAAAATTAATAAAATAGTTTTCTTTAAAAAAAAAAAAAAAAAAAAAAAAAAATTCGCAAAAGTTTTAATGAAAATACACTAACTTGTATGATGCCATCCTGATTGGAACCAGAGTGAAGTTCTGAGGTGTTTCCCTCAGTTTGAGTGGAACCACAGTGAAGTTCTGTGGTGTTTCCCTCAGTTTGAGTGGAACCACAGTGAAGTTCTGAGGTGTTTCCCTCAGTTTGAGTGGAACCACAGTGAAGTTCTGTGGTGTTTCCCTCAGTTTGAGTGGAACCACAGTGAAGTTCTGTGGTGTTTCCCTCAGTTTGAGTGGAACCACAGTGAAGTTCTGTGGTGTTTCCTTCAGTTTGAGTGGAACCAGAGTGAAGTTCTGTGGTGTTTCCCTCAGTTTGAGTGGAACCACAGTGAAGTTCTGAGGTGTTTCCCTCAGTTTGAGTGGAACCAGAGTGAAGTTCTGTGGTGTTTCCCTCAGTTTGAGTGGAACCACAGTGAAGTTCTGAGGTGTTTCCCTCAGTTTCCCTCAGTTTGAGTGGAACCACAGTGAAGTTCTGAGGTGTTTCCCTCAGTTTGAGTGGAACCAGAGTGAAGTTCTGAGGTGTTTCCCTGTGTTTCCCCTCAGTTTGAGTGGAACCAGAGTGAAGTTCTGTGGTGTTTCCCTCAGTTTGAGTGGAACCAGAGTGAATTTCTGTAGTTTTTCCCTCAGTTTGAGTGGAACCAGATTGAAGTTCTGAGGTGTTTCCCTCAGTTTGAGTGGAACCAGAGTGAAGTTCTGTGGTGTTTCCCTCAGTTTGAGTGGAACCAGAGTGAAGTTCTGTGGTGTTTCCCTCAGTTTGAGTGGAACCACAGTGAAGTTCTGAGGTGTTTCCCTCAGTTTGAGTGGAACCAGAGTGAAGTTCTGTGGTGTTTCCCTCAGTTTGAGTGGAACCACAGTGAAGTTCTGAGGTGTTTCCCTCAGTTTGAGTGGAACCACAGTGAAGTTCTGAGGTGTTTCCCTCAGTTTGAGTGGAACCAGAGTGAAGTTCTGTGGTGTTTCCCTCAGTTTGAGTGGAACCACAGTGAAGTTCTGAGGTGTTTCCCTCAGTTTGAGTGGAACCAGAGTGAAGTTCTGTGGTGTTTCCCTCAGTTTGAGTGGAACCAGAGTGAAGTTCTGTGGTGTTTCCCTCAGTTTGAGTGGAACCAGAGTGAAGTTCTGTGGTGTTTCCCTCAGTTTGAGTGGAACCAGAGTGAAGTTCTGTGGTGTTTCCCTCAGTTTGAGTGGAACCAGGGTGAAGTTCTGTGGTGTTTCCCTCAGTTTGAGTGGAACCACAGTGAAGTTCTGAGGTGTTTCCCTCAGTTTGAGTGGAACCACAGTGAAGTTCTGAGGTGTTTCCCTCAGTTTGAGTGGAACCAGAGTGAAGTTCTGTGGTGTTTCCCTCAGTTTGAGTGGAACCACAGTGAAGTTCTGAGGTGTTTCCCTCAGTTTGAGTGGAACCAGAGTGAAGTTCTGTGGTGTTTCCCTCAGTTTGAGTGGAACCAAAGTGAAGTTCTGAGGTGTTTCCCTCAGTTTCCCTCAGTTTGAGTGGAACCACAGTGAAGTTCTGAGGTGTTTCCCTCAGTTTGAGTGGAACCATAGTGAAGTTCTGTGGTGTTTCCCTCAGTTTGAGTGGAACCTCTGTGAAGTTCTGTGGTGTTTTCCTCAGTTTGAGTGGAACCAAAGTGAAGTTCTGAGGTGTTTCCCTCAGTTTTTATAAGAAAAAAAAAATAACCATGTGATTCTTATCATTGTTTGGGTAGATATTTTAAAAATAACTTTTCATACAATAACTATAGCAAGAGGGTGTAACGAATTTTGAAATCATCACCTTCTAATGAGATCACTGTAACCTGACATATTTTTCACAGTCATACGGGTCGGTACGATGATATTTCCAGATTATCTCATTAATGATGTCAAACTTAATCAGTGAAACAAATTTAACCATGTCATTTGACGACAGTATCAAATTTTTCCATTCATTTCAACCGATTTCTATTTCACTCGCTTATCTGATACAAACGTACTTAAATTATTCATATTTTCTTTCCTTTTTTTCCTTTTAAATAATTTTACTGATGATCTTAATGTAAAGGAAATTGTCATGTTGGACTAAACAAACGAAAGTATTCAATGTCCAGGTATATGTACATTCTCTATTTCTCAATCTCCCTTTCTCGTAAAATATCACTAAAATCAAGTAAAAAATAATGCATTCCTTAAATACCCCCCCCCCCTTTCAAAAATAGAGCCTGACTGTAATCGTAACTACTCGGTCATTTCCGTGAACGATAAATAACTATTTTTCTTCCGGAAAATGGCCAAGTAGTTACGAATGAGCCTAGCTGATGTAATCATATACACTTGCCGTGGGAAAAACTCCGCCCACTGTCAGTTCAAGCCAATCAAAACCACAAGATTTTAGCGAAGGCTGCAAAATTATAGATCTTTGATCTGATTTTTCCCAGGAAAAGACACAATGCCTTGCGACTTTCTATTAGATGAACCTGTCTGTTCTGGTATGTTACCTATATTCAATATTTCACTTATTGAGTAAATTTATTTAATTCCCCGTTTTAGGTGAAAGGCAGTTGGGATAATACTTTCACGTTTTACGATTTGTAGATATCTTAATTTCTCATTTTTCAGAACTCACTACAGTCACAATGACAACACCATCACAAAACGAAATGGGTAAGTACATTCTTTTTTTGTGTTTTCTAACTTTCTTATTTTTGTTCACTGTTGACTTGCATTTTTCAATTGACTCTAGATTTCAACACTTCGCTTCGTCACAACGTAACCGACCTCATGACAAAAGCGACTACTTCGTTTTCCGTCAACACTCACAAGTCTGGACCTTTCTCTGCATTCACAAAGAGACACAAACAAAATGCACAAACTTCAATTGCAAATTATAATGTGTCCTCAGATCGTGTACTAACACATACGGCTCAGTCCAGTACACTATACAGTACATGACTGAGTCTACTCAAAAACGTGATACCCTGGACAATGTTACTTCTGCCATTGACACCACTTGCTCACACAATGTTACTTTAACCATTGACACCACTCGCTCACACAATGTTACTAATACCACTGTCACCACTCGCTCACACAATGTTACTACTCCCATTGACACCACTCCCTCACACAATGTTACTACTCCCATTGACACCACTCGTTCACACAATGTTACTACTCCCATTGACACCACTCGCTCACACAATGTTACTACTCCCATTGACACCACTCCCTCACGCAATGTTACTACTCCCATTGACACCACTCGCTCACACAATGTTACTACTCCCATTGACACCACTCGTTCACACAATACTTCAACCATTGGCACCACTCGTTCACAGACCGTCACTAATAGGTCCCATAAACACACATTACCTCCCTACCTACCTACAACCCAACAGTCTTACTTGTCCGCTACTTTACAGATATACATTTGTGTATTCAATGTAGATTTTAAAAAACTGAAACGAAATCTGTGAACTCTTTCTGTGTAGGAGTAGCAAAGATGATTTCGAATGGTAATTTGTTATATCCTTCACCTGTGTTATTAATTAAAAGCATTTTCACAATCAAAATACAAAGATTGTAAGGGAGGCGACTATAGCGTTTTGAGGGTGTTTCCGCGATTACGAAGACTAAAGAAAATAAAGACGAGCGTGCCATGTATGATTGTATCTTATCATATTTAGAAGAAATGGGTATTTATATTTTGTCTGTGCATATAATTTCCTCTGCAAATGTAAGTGCGATTCTCAATCTGAGGAGGGGGTACTCTGTGTTATTCAGAGATAGATATCTTGCGTTATTATCATGCTGTGGGTTAAAATTTATTTCCGAAACAATTACAAATGTACCTCTGAGTAACATTCAATAAATTCTGAAACATTTACATTCAGCTTATTTATAGTTAATAATATCTCTGTAAAACATAAGGATTGATTGATATTGTTTAACGTCCCTCTCGAGCATTTTTCACTCATATGGAGACGCCACCATTTGCCGCGGTTGAGAGCTGCAAATTTTATCCTTTATTCGGCACTCGGGGCCATTGAGCAGGGAGGGATCTTTTTCGTGCCAGCACCTACTGCGACACGGGACCTCGGTTTATACGGTCTGATCCGAAGGACCGGTCTCCATGTCCCGCAGTGGGATTCTAACCCGCGACGTAAGGATTGATTCCTTACTTCGCGACTAGAGCAGACGCTCCAACAAATGCGCCATGCGGGCGACTAAAACATTAGGAAGATAAACATTGAATTAATAAATTTGGGAAAATATTATTTATATAATAAATATGACCTCAATGCACGGTCAATATGCATTTATAATGACCCATGTATCTGAGGTCAATATCTGTCAGCCTGGGTCATTATGAATGCATATTGTCCTACATCGAGTCCATATTTGTATATTGTCACACACCGATGACGTCCTATATGTTCATGAAGTAACTTGGTCCGAATTGATCTTGTGTAAAGAGAATTTAGCTAAGACGGCGGGTACAAAGTAAAATGGAGTTCAAAAGCAAATATCGTGATTATTATGTGACACTCATATGGAGTTCTGTTAATTTAATAGGTATGCTAATTTATTTCCATCGATTATATTATCTTTTGAAGTCACTCAGATATATACGTAACCCGGTCGGCCTTTCCTCTGTCATCCGTGACAAAAATATTGCGATAGAACAACAATAAGCTGGATATTTCAAAACAATAGATCTGTACAGATGGAACAA